GGATGCGAATAAAAGCCCGAAGTGACGGACATCCAGTGCTAATCTGTCCTGTGCTGCTTGGTACGTTTGTGATCTGTCACAGATTAGGGCAATATCGTCAGCATATACCAACTCAAGAAATCTTTCTCCTGGGAGCAGATCCACACTTTTTATCTCGTGTTCTGTGAACGCGATTTCCATGACTTCGTCAATAGCGAAGTTGAAAAGGAAAGGTGACAGCGGGCATCCTTGTCTCACACCGCTGGAGATATTGAAGGGCGGTGACAGGTTGTCGTAAGCCCTCATCCTGCCTGAGCTACGCGCGTATAATGCTAAGATAATATTTACATATTTCTCAGGTACGACTTTCCTGAGTAGACAGTCCCAAAGTGCACGTCTATCCACCGAATCGAATGCACTTTTGATATCGAGGAACACGACAACGGCGGGCCACCAATATAGATTGCGGTGCTCCAACAACTAACGCAAAGTAAAGGTGTGGTCAATGCAACCACGACCTCGACGAAACCCGGCTTGCTCTTCAAGAATATGGCTTTCACGAGTGCCAGTCAGTCAGTAAAGGATGACAGAGGCACGTAATTTGGAGGCCAAGATGATAAGACTGACTCCTCTATGGTTGCCGCATTCCGATCGTGAGTTTCCTTTGAAAGTTGTGACTATGACGGAGCAGCTCCAGTCCGTTTGGACAGTTTTACTAGTAACTCGTATAAATCATCCACAAGAGCAGAGCCCTCGAATTTGGAAAGTGATGGAGGAAGAGCATCTGGTTCGGCGGCTTTATTTAGCTTCAACAGTCCGATCTCACGTTCGACTTCCAAGCGAGAGGGTGGATCCAAAGGGACAGCCCAGGGAGCGGGGCGATCAGTGGCCGGCGAGAAATCCACCAATTCCGGCCGATTAAATTGCCTTTCAAAGGGCTCAGCCTAACGCTCCAAGCGTATTGACAAGTTGTGTTTAAGCACTAAGAACCACTCCGGTATAGCCTAGCTCTCACCCTCTCTTTGTAAGGGGAATTTAGCTTGCATGCGCTAAGGATTTCAGTCACAACTGGTAAGCAGTTTACAGTCAAATTACTGGAATTAGTCACCGGCCTACCATTCCATAACAACGTTACTTCTAAGAGCTTCAAAACGGGAAATAAGCCGGTAATTTTTAACCTCGTCTTCACAAATGAGGGATTTTCGTCGACACAGTGACAGTTAGTAGTCAGCTGGGGTGCAGTGCTCACGCAACACTGCTTTCCCTCAACGTCTGCTGCAATGAATAATCCAAGCTAGAAATCGAAGTGCTCCCCAGCATAACACATCACAACGTTTTATCCGACCTCATTACTATCACTACTCGGTCGCTTGGGGAATGTTCGTCAATCAGTTCAGCAGCTGAGAAACAAACGCATCGGAGACTAAAACCGTTAGCTTAAAAAGTAATTTCCTTCCTGGGGAGCAGGACGCGGAAACGAATGGTCATGTGTGATTCCATTTGGAAAGCATAGTAATCCGGTCCAAACACCGGAAACTGGATTGCCTACATAACTGCGTGAAACCGCTGTGTTAGACTGGCCTGCGAAGCTCAAATGAAACACCAACAGAATTTGGCGAAGTAGTTCCGTGGCAGTCCTTAAACTATTTTATAGTCATCTTAACCAAATTCGCAAAATTCACGTGACATCTCTCCTCTAAACACCTTCTGTAGGCAAGCGCAAACGGCACAAGACGTCAGTTCTCTTGTACTTTCCAAAACGTAACCCCATTCCATATCATTCTCACACATCACATCACCACCGGGACTTAGCCACATCTCCTTCACAGCCGCGGATATGCTGAAACAACGGATGTAACTACGCGAATACAGTTCACCTAGTCCGGATAGCATACAACCCAAATGATTGATGTAAGTTGACACGAGCTTGGCTGAACCATTATCTCAATTTTTCCAGTGTTTTTTTCGATGAGATGCAGCTCCCAACCAGTTGCAAGGGCAGAAGGCAATCGTGCAGTGCCCAAAAACTGCCGCTCGATTACTCTTCTTCCCATAGTTGCGGAAGTCATGGAATCTGTCATTACAGATGTGGTTATGGATATTTAGATAAGTGCCATATCATCATACAAGAGCAGCATGGATTCCGCCATAACCGCTCATGTACAACGAATCTTTTGTTAGCCCTGCTAGCTGGACGGAATCTGTCTATACATGAGAAGGACTTGACACCGGTTACCTTGTTTTCTCGAGGGCATTTTATCGCCCAAATCACCGGATTCCTATCTACGAGGTTCGGAGATACGGGATCGGTGACCATCCTGGGCTAGAGTTATTCATTCCTATTCAAACGATGCCTGAATTTTCGGGTTGGTAGCACCCTATCCGGCCCGAGAGAGGTTCACTGTGGCGTCCCTCATGGCTCGGTAATAGGATCACAGTTATTCATTGTGTTCATAAGTGACCTCGCGGGTGTGTTAACATCGACTTATGTACTCTTTGCTGGCGACCTCAAGTTGTGGCGGAAATCAAACGAGTAGACGACCAAATAGCACTGTAAGGTGTTCTCAACAGGGCTTACGGATGGTCGACCGAAAACCTGCTTTATTTGGACCTTGCCAACTACAAAATAATGAGCATGCGTCACTAGAGTACTTGCCAGTGTCGACTGGGAGAACATGTCCTGCAGTGCGATTCTTATGAATATCATCTTGGGGTGCTCGTACATGACAATCTCGGATGCTCAACGCAGGCCGAAGTGGCAGTGGAAAAAGCCAGCCAACACTTGGGCCTACTACGGAGGGCGTTTGGCCGGTTTGATCCTACCTTCTCTTTTCGCAAATGCTCAATGCTTGTGTGAGATCACACGTTGAATACGCCATTCAGGTGTGACACTGCTGACAAAACATCCTCACTGCTCTTGAGAAGCCACGGCGGAGAGTGACGAAAATGTGAAGGGATTGTTGCATCTCCCTTACCAGTTGAGACTAAAGGCTCTAGGGGTGTTTAGTGAACAATATCGTCTTTCGCGACGTGATCTCAGATCCTCAAAGATTCTAGCTACCCATGCCGATGCTTATTGAAACTCAGCCATAACACTTCCTTGAGAGGCCACCGTTTGAAATTATCCACAAAGCACAACCAGTTCGGATGCCGCCGGCGATATTTTTCATTTAGTGTATCACAGCCGTGGAACTTACTTCCGCATTTTGTCGCATCTGCTCCTACCTTGTCCGAGTTCAAAAGTCGACTTTGTGGTGCATTACACCACCTGCATTCCACAGTTTAACCTAAGTTATTGGGACATGCGACAATGCAACCAAATTTGCGTTAAATCCACAGTTAGGGGTATTTTGTTTGCTACATCCATTTTTGATCTTATATTTAATCTACGGAAAACTGTAAAACGTTTGTTTTTTTATCCGTGAACAATCAATTTTTCTAACGCTGTGAAGGCATACGCAGTTTCCTCACTCATCACAAAAATGAAGTAACAGCGATTGTACGGGTCTGGGCGAAGAATCAGAACTGTTTCGACCAACGTTGATCAAAACACAGCTTGGTCACAGGGCAAAAGCGAAGCGAATTGGGTAGAAAAGCCACCATCGAACCTAGGGTGCAAGTTAGGCTGCACCTAGTCGTAGGCAGAGCAGAAATTCGGTAGACCGCATAAGGCGCAGGAACAGCGCATACGGGCCAACAAACACAATAAAATGTATGAAAACGAGGCACTAAAAATGGTCAGTGAGAAAACGCTGCGAATAAATAGTACCAAATTTTATGCCGTATTAATGATTTTTCAACTTACTACTTATCTTGTGATCGTTACCGAGTCTTTGTTCTAACTTAGCGGGCTAAACGACACTTAACGCCCCAAGGTTACTCCTTAATTCAAGGCACTATGAAGTCGGCCGAGTATAGCCTCATTAACTTTGTCACGCGACTTCACAGCGGGAAACTCCATGATGGGAACTGCGAGAGAACTGAATAAAAGGCAAGAATTGGAACAACTCTGACTAAAGTAACTTGTTATGCAATGAACAATGATTTATCACGGGTAAAAAAGCGAGTCCTTGACAAGTCCCGTAGAACGGTGAGAGTGAAAACTAAAAAATACGAATAGGCAATTCAAGCATCTACCGTTTTAACTGCACTGCTGCATGACGATTGCATAAGCACACAAAAAGTAATATGGGAAGCAGTTACAGTTCACTTACTCCGTGAGAAAATATAAGGCTTCCTTGCACAGATGTGATACGTGAACCCAGTTTGGATACATCCTGAGCCCATTCCACAGTAGTAGCGTTTAAAGAAGTATATGACGGAAGTGAAATCGAGCGCGTTGCTTGCTAGTGTTAGGTTGACGCACGGACATAAAGGGTTATATAGCGTAATACAAATGCAGTGTATTTATTTTACAGTCGTGTCTAGCATGGTTTGAAAGTTCACATCCATTTCTTAACGAGAAGTAAGTCGGTGATCTCGATACTACACTTACAGCTATATCAGGTAGTCTGCGCATTCTGTGTACCATTGAAAATACATCCCTGAGAGCACCGAAAGTGTGTTGAACCCACGGGATCTGCATTAACGTGGTCATGCATCAAGAGGCGTTTAAAAATGTCAACTAGTTGTATGCAGCCCAGCGTAACATCACTATTTTCACAAATCGACCAACGGAGAGGTTTGTCATATAACAGAGGACGATGGCAGATCAAATCAAGTGCTCGACGCTTCATTTGAACACAACTTATTGAAATATGCTCGGTTGATTAAAAGCTGGGAAACTTTGGCTTATTTTTTTATTTGGTTTTGCTTGTCTAGCTTGTAGACACTTTAGCCTCGACCAACTGGCAATATCTCTTTTCGCTTTCCGTTCTGCTATTGGTATAGTTATTGTAAATTGACTGATGTTGCAATATTAAAAAGAGCTTGTTCCTTCAACAAATGAGGATAACTGTTTCCTTTATCTGTGTTTGGCACGCACACTCAGCCAATCTAGCTGATTTTGTCTTCCTTTTCAGCCGACTCATGCTGACGCACTCTGGCCGGAGCCTGCTTCTGCTCTTTTGCCTATCTCTCCCGCAGCCCAACGGGAAGCGAGCAATTTGATTCAACCTTGTAATGTTTAAGTGCGTGCGTACACAGGACTTCCAACAAGCAAACTATTAAATATTAATTTCTTGTTCTGTATTTCCTTGTGTTTCCCATATACTGAAGGCAAAATATTGGCTGACGGGTATTAACACCGCAGCACCTACATCGGTGCAGAAATTGGGTTTAATCCAAACCAGTATTATGTATATACTGGACTTTACCTTAGTTCAAAGTTCTTTTGTTTTAAGTGGCAAGGTGTAAATCACGACGTACAGAGGCCTAGACAAATCACATGATACTTCAGTGAAGGTTACGAAGTTGTGCAGTGACTCGGCAGTCGTGGCAATTTTGCATTCTTGGTCATTAGACATGAAGTCAAAGGTGCTCGAGATTACAACCGAAAGGAGACGCTATCGTGACCGTTGTCGACCCTAAGGATGAAACGGAACACCAGCTTGCATTCTTGGTTGTGTCAGCAGATCTTATACCCATCTTGGCCATTGATTCCATCCAGCGCCTTGGTTTTCTTTCATTTAACCATGATCGTTTTGTTTACTCGTGTCAGACCGCTGCAGATATTGTTGATTTGTATCCTGTCGTGGTCCATGGGATTATTGGGAAATTCGATGAATGCGCTCATTTATCCCTAAACGAGTCTGCTAGGACAGTAGCACTGCCAGCCGCATCAAGAGAAAGAAAACACACCGGCTATGCACACAAGCGCTGTATTCACTAGCCTCAGGCAAAGTACAAGTAACTGTGATGTTAATAACTTACCTGCCCAATCGATCGATCGCCTGATCTACCACACTACAGCAGGTGATTCCATTAGCCCCAGCTGTCAGCCCCATCACATCCTTTCCATTTTCCTTTTTTCGCTGTTTTGGTGTTACAGGTTCTGTAACGTCTTCCACCACGACAGCGCTTGCAAACCTGGGCTGCGATCTTAGTTGGGTTGTGCTGCGGATACGGCTTCTCGTTCGAACGCTGTTCAGCTTTAGGTATCTGTTTAGAACATACTCCGGCTCTAGACACTAAATTATGTGGCTGTCTTGGCTCATTTTTGTGGCCCAGCTTTCGCTGCCGTGAACGCTTTCAAAGAGTGTATCACTTTCAAATGTTCGTTGACTCCAGAATCGACTGGCGGTTTAATTCCTTGTTCTTGATTCGGCAGTTTTGCATCAATGCATCCCTCCCCGACGTGATCCCTCTTGTTATTTAGTGCAATTTCATGTGCTTTTTGAGGATTTACGCTATCAAGTGAGCTAATGTTGGTCGATGGACGGCAACGAGCAAAATGACCTAACCGGCCTTCACAATAATCAACAAATCTCTCGAGCGTTTCTGCAAGATCCGGTTTTCGGTCGTGATCGCAGAGATTCCAGGCTTCTAGTATCAGTTCCGCATCATTGCCGATGACCTATCTGAAAATGGCTAACAGACACTGCATAAGATATTCATCCAACTCGATCAATGTAGCGAAGTTCATCCACTCCGCTCTCCACAGGCGCCAGTTTTCAAGCAGCGGACCCTCCATCATCTCTAATGGAATATGCATCGCTACAAATGTCTGCCAGCCAAAGCAAAGCTGCTGATCGCTCATCGGGTTCTACTTTTCCTCTGTCACCATGTTGCGTGCCTGGTTTTGCCAGCCGCGTCAAGTAAAAGAAAACACCCCGGCTATGCACACAAGCGCTATATTCACTAGCCTCAGGCAACGTACAAATAACTGTGATTGTAAAAACTCACCTGCATACTCGATCGATCGCCTGATTGACCACACTGCAGTAGGCGATTCCATTAGCCCCAACTGTCAGCCCCAGCACAAAAGGCAATCGAGCACTTATCACCCTCAGATTGCTCCAATTTCATCGGTCAAAGTGCCTACTGGCTTTTCTACCTGCCGTGTGAGTGGGTAGAAAACTGCCACCAGAAGCTTCTATTAGCCATACCTTAACGTGGGTAATCATAAGTGAAGAAATGCTATAGAAAAATGGTAGGTACTCACTTGAACGGAAAACTTTGACTGAGCTCCCGTTGGACTGTCCTGATGAGTCACGCTCCATCTACTTTTATACAGCCTCAGTAATCCATACCAGGTGACAGCTCGTTAGATCCAGACATACTTCTAATCTTCTGTAATTGGTAGATGGATAACCATCAAGCACCATTTCTACTGCCAAACGCCAATCTGTCCCGCCAATATGAAGGTCTAACCCGGCGTTGTGAATAAGAGCTCTAACTGTTCAGCCTCACTGCGTTGCAACTACAAGAAACACTTTCTTCAACCGATATGTCAGTTTTCGCAGATGATCTATTGCTTCAATGTGATCATCTCAGGAGTTACGTAAACTGCTGCTTCCACCTATGCTGCCCCATCGAAACGATCTACCTGCGAGTAGATGGATTTCCTTCACCCCTGCCGAAACAACTACGAAGAAACAAAGAACCTAATTTCTGAGTTGTGAACAATCGGTTAGTATACTTGAGTGTGAAAAAGAACCCACTTACAAGCTCAAGATGACAAGCCGAGTCAAAAGCCTGCTTTTAGCAATTAAAGCTGAAATAACAAGCCTAACCCGTTTATACATTGAGACGGTACTGTAAAACCATAACTGTCGGGATCTCGGGCGGCTGTTGAAGCTAAAATTTGATAAAAGTACCTTAGGATGTACTGGAATCGTGGATTTTGACAAACTCAATTTTGAGTTTAGTTCCACTCCGTTGAGCGCTTTTCCATTACCTTGCTTCACTAGCTCATAACAACCGCCTTATTTGATCAAGTTGACGTCAATATAGAACGCAAAAAGCCAGATACAAATAAAACTATTGGCCCTGATGGTTTGTTACCCGTGGTTTTGAAGCAGTGCATCGATTCCCTTATATTATCCCTGACTGGTATTTTTAACAAGTGTCTCATGACCGGCTCGATCCCCGACATCTGGAGGTCAGCCAGAATAACGCCAATTCCTAAAAACGAACCTCACAAGTATCGGCTTATTGCTTTTACTTTCGTGCTCCAAAGTCCTCGAAAAGCTGCTAGTTCCATGGATTTCCACGGCCACTCGTGCTGATGATGTCTACCAGTTTGCGTTTGGACCCCAGTGCTCCATGCTTAATGCTGTCTCATACCTTGTGCGTACAATAGCCTCTGCGCTAGATAAAAAGTGCCGGTCCGTACGACTTCTTTTTCTTTACTATGCAAAGGCCTTTGAGAGTCTTGATCCATCAGTTCTGCTTAACTTACTTTATTTGAACCGAGTCCACCCTGATGTTTGTAACTTGTTACCCGACTATTTCACTGATCGTATGCACTTCACCCAGTTAAACGACAAAAGTCCTCTATGCTCTACGCCGACTGTGATGTCTTGCAGGACGCGACCCACTCACCTCTTTTATTCTCTCTCCCTCTCTCTCCCTCTCTCTCTCTCTCTCTCTCTCTCTCTCTCTATATATATATATATATATATATATATATATATCGAAAGTCTCCCAATACCATGAACATTCATTGGATGTGAATATGTTGCCGATATTGTCTTGGGGTTCAGATCTTTCTCCATTGAGACATCTACGCTTCAGTGTGGTTTAGACGAACTTGTGAGTTGGTCATCCACCATGTCCCTTAACCTTACTGTTTTGAAATGTACTAAGGTAACAGTTTCATTTCTCTGCCCTGATAAATTGCGAGTAAATTTTGGATGCGTCCCCTCTATTACCTTTGGAGGACAATACCATTCCCATTGTCAAATATCTTCGTGTCTATTTATCTCAAAACCTATCTTGGTCCATGCACGTTTTAGAGACCATTCACAAGCTTGGAAGGTAATCTTTTCCTGCTTTTCTATTTAAAAAGCTCTCCATACGGTGGAACTTAATTTTGGGATTTATAACTGCACGTATACTACCCCACTGATTGTACTGTACCCCAGAAATCATCGCTGCATTACTACAAAAGGACTACGTTTTGAGTGCGCGATCGATTACACATATTTCCAGATGTGGCGACTTGCCGTGAGATTCCATAGTTGATTTTATTCTTTGTAAACATTTCGACGCTTGCATGAACTTTTCTTCAAAGCTCCTAAGTGACCGCTGTCATCCGCTACATGATGCTCTCTCACAAACCTTATCTGTCTCTCACACAGGTACAAAATTTAGTATTTTATTCTCTCGTACTTCATATCGTAACACAATCTTGCTTTGTTTGTCACGCTTTCTTGTCGAACCTATAAAAGTCCCAAATGCTTTGCGCATGCGGTTACTTGAATGACTTCCACATACCTTTGACTATTTATTCTTCAATCTAGGTTTATGTATTTTTAACTGATCCCCTTCATTTACTGTATCCTCATTGATAGCGTAAACGCTGATAATGTACCTTTTTAGATGCATAAAGCCTGATTTTACTTGATACCCATTGGTCACTGCTCCACTCTGATTGAATGGCTCATGCAGTGTAATTTCTTACATATGCGCATCTGCAAACCAGCTGTTAGAGCAGGAATGATGATTCAGGTATGTTCACGTAAACGTTTGTAGCTTCCGATTTTGCTTTTGCTAGGCTCATTCACTGACTGGTTTAACGGGTCCATGTGTTAAACCCACTGGCTGGTATAGAGTGGTCGTTTTGGCTTTTGGATCGCAGTCCTGATCTGACGCTAATGCTGTCACTTCCCTTCCTGTATGTACATCTGATTGGTACCTGATTATAATCGGTCTTTATTGGCCTGGTCTGTCCGAACGCTTTCAGCACTCCGGTTGGTTATTACATTTACACGCCATGTTATATGACGATGCGGTTCCCATGAAAACAAGCATGGATCTTGTCCCTGCTCGTTTGCGTTCTCACTAACGTTAGTGGGTGGAAGCATTCGCGGAGCCCAACACAACACAAACACACACATCCACTTATCCATCCCGCCTCACTTGAGAAGGTGGCTGACATTCTGCGCGTCCTGCTACTCGCTGAGTGGGCTTGCCGGTGTGCCGACTGGTGGAACCGAAACAGAGCGGTGACGGACATAGTCGCTTTGCCGGTGGACTATCCTGCCGTCTGGTAGAACAACTTCCGTAATTTTCCCCGCAACCTTGCG